CTCCGTTGTGGGTAAACGGGAAACCCGACTCTACGAACCCGAGGAAAGGCTGCACAGCAGTAGTCAGGGCGTGAAGACCGGAGCTTTTTGTAGTGCTAGCAGAAATGCAAGTGAATGAATCCCATCCCCTAGCGAGTGAAATGCTTACGCCCCATTAGAGATAGGGGCGAGCAAAAGAGCTCGTTCTTAAATTTTTAGATTCGAGCAACTAAATGAGTTGAACGTAGTCAGAAAACTCATTCGACCAACGGGAGTCGCTCGAAGAGGTACGAAGTCGCTAGAGAATTCGTTTCACTATGTGAAACTCATTCGAAGAGGTACGAAGTCGCTCGAAGAGGGGAGAGGTACGACCAAAGGGAGTTGCCTTCCTCCTATTATACTATTCTATTAGTCTCTATTAGTCAAGCGCTAGCGCCCTACAACTAGTATAGTCTAGCAGAGCAGCCAGCTTCAAAGCTTACCGCCCCGTGGGTATGGGTGAACAAGCAACGTGCGGAGCCGCTCGAGGGAGTCCGTTGCTTGCTGTCTACTGCGCGAGCCTTGACTGCCCCGTTCTGTAACTTCCCTTCTTTCGTCCGTCCACGAGGCTGTAAAAAGAGAGAAAGGGGCGGCTATCTAGCGGGAGTCGTTTCGGTTGTATGCCACGAGGTCCCTATGGACAAGGGGACAAGTGAATCATCGCTTTTGGGCGTCCCTCTACCTTCTATCCCATTTCATTCCATCGTCTCGTATTGTACTGACCAGATAGATCTATTGAGTTAAGAAAACTATTCTTTTTATATTGATAGGGATCACCATTCATTCCTAGATTCCGATTTATTTTCCCTACCTAACTACATGGTAGTGGTCTAGGGAGCGCAATTGCTAGAGCACGGGATAATGAAGAGTAATGATTTAAGCAAGAGCAGCCAGACGGACTACTATAGTGAGTCTAGTGACTACTAGAGTAGAGTGAAGTCAAAAGGTATGGTATAGCAGCCTTTCCGAGCGAGCCTCTGGGATCTCCTGTAAACCCCCATGAGGAGGATATTAGGGGAAGCAGTGAGTGGAGATTCCCCTGCAGAGAGCCGGATGAGGGGAGACCCTCACGTCCGGTTCGGAGGGCGGGGATATCCCGACCCTACTATCATTATGCCTTTGCAATGTTACTTGGTTTAACTCTATTTGTGACCTTTTTTTGTATGTGGGACTCTCTATCTTCTTGGGTAGATAATCGATTGTCTTTCATTTGGATAGTGAGTTGTTTTTATAATAAGTCAAGTCAAGAATAAGAATCTAACTGGAGGAGCTTGCCAGGATGGCTTGGTAAGCAAGCAAGCAGTTATGTAGGTGCCAACTCCCAGTTCTTTCTCTTCTTTCTTTTTTATCATCAAAATAAGATTGCTGGAAGAATAGAGATCCGGTCTTTCGTTCGCAACAAGGTAGCCATAGGGAGAACCTGTGGCTGGATTGAATCCTATGCCCTCAAGTTCTTAAAGTCCGGATTCATGGATAAGCCTTCAGCTAAGAGAAGGAGAAATGCTATAAGTCAAAGTCAACTTCGTTCACCACTACGTTCTTTCAGAACCGCTCCGTGGGCTTCCCTGAAATGGAATAGCGCTAGCTAAAAACGAGTGAATCTTGCGTAAGTGAACGGAATGCTGTTGGCATGTTCGAGCTAAGCAAGTCAACTACTTCTCTTCGTTGCGTAGGCGAAGTGAGTTGGCTGTTTCGAGCTAGGGCTAAGCGATGATCCAAGCTGGAAGTGAGCCGGAGTTCGTAGGCTAAGTGAACGGGGAGCAACGGCTGATCGAAAAGCGAAGATAGGCGCATAGTTCAGTGATCTACAAGAGTGGTAGAGGTCCCGATCAGGTTGTTTTAACAAGCTAGTTAGGCCAGATAGGCTAAACTAGTACGGCTGTTTGCGTACTTGCTTGTTAAAGCCTGAAAAGAAGCCAATAAGGCGCAGTTACAGCTACATTGGATAGGGAGTTGCGAAATCAGGCATAGGGTGTACGAATAGCACTGATCGTAGACCATCCAGATGCTTATGGGGCAGAACAGACCGATTGATTAGTTCCCGTGATCGTAGATCCACTTTAGCTAATGCAACTCGGGAAGAAGCTGCTAAGATCCCGTCGCTTACAAATGCTCCAGCGTGAAATAAATACTTTTTTAGGTACAGGGATAAATTCGTACAATAGTGCGAGTACTGACTTGTTAAGAGTCCTGACTAGTATACCGTCTGCTATTCTTACTAAATCTCAAGATAGTTGTACAATTGAACACGGTATGGGTAGGAGTCAAGTGGAACATAGAATTGTTTATTGACAAGTTTGGTTTTTGCATTTCG